TGCTCTCCTTTTCGCAACTGGCCACGAAATGACGTCGATCCGGGTTTCAATTGATCGGCGTGAAACACTGCTTGTGTTGGGGCTCACAGGTGTAGTAGGGTTTTCGTGTCTATGGTCAGGGGGCTTCAGAACTGAAGCACTAAGCTCCATGCGGGGAGGTGCGCTGCTGGAAATTTTCACTGTGCCCTCTCACTTCCGAGAGAGCCCTGAGGATGGGAGCTCTGTAGCATGAGGGTCTTCTGATCAACGTGTTCCAACGTCTGGGCGCAACCCTCGCGTCGAGAAAACCCACTTATTTCAAAACCTCCTGAAGCCAGCCCCACGAAATGCCTTCAAGTTCTGCTGGTGCCTTGAAACTACATCCTACTGGAAGGCAAGGATGTAGTCGAACAGAGTAGCCACAGTACAACTAGCCTTTCAAAGCGAAAGCACCAAAAAACAGGCAAGAAGGAAGCATTCTGCCTGGAGGAACCTGGAGCAAGCTGCATGGCACAATGGCTGTCCTCAGGACACGAGACTTGGAACTGCTGGGGTTTCGGGTTGCACCTAGGGGCTGCACCTGCTGTTGCTGCTGCTGCCGTTGCTACTTCTGCTTTTACCGCCACTGCTCGTACTACTCCTGCCCCTACTCCTAATCGCACTCCTGTTCCCACTGTCCCTCACCACCACGACGACGATGTCGACCACAACGACAGCAGCGGCACCACCAGCACCACCAGCACCACCATCACCATCGCACTCACAATCACAATTTCAGCCACCATCATCATCAGCATCATCATAACCAGCATCATCAGCATATTCATCATCATCATCATCATCATGATCATGATCATGATCAGATCATGTCAGATGATCATGATCATCATCATCATCGTGGTCGCCATCTGCATCACCATCACCATTTGCATCTTCTTCATCATCATCGTCATCACCATCATCGCCATCGTCATCATCATTATCATCGTCATCATCATCATCACCACCAACATCAGCATGAGCATCGGCATCACCATTATCATCATCACAGTCATCAACACCATCGTCATCACCATCGTCATCACCATCGTCATCGCCATCGTCATCACCATCACCATCATCATCATCATCATCATCAACATCATCTTCATCAGCATCATCATCAGCATCAGCATGAGCATCACCATCATCATCATCGTCAGCATCGTCGTCATCGTCATCACCAGCATCATCACCAGCATCAGCATCAGCACCAGCACCAGCACCATCATCATCATCATCGTCGTCGTCGTCGTCGCCATCATCAGCACCATCGTCATCATCATCGTCATCTTCAGCTTCATCATCATCATAATCATCATCATCATCACCATCACCATTTCCGTCAGCATCTTCATCATCATCATCATGTTCAGCATCATCATCATCAGCATCATCATGAGCATCACCATTATCACCATCAGCACCATCGCCATCACCATCGTCATCAGCATCGTCATCACCATCATCACAACCGTCATCATCATCACCATCATAATCATCACCATCATCACCACCATCATCACCATTATCAATGGCATTTCCATGCTTTCCGCCTTGTCCTTCCTCAATGTCGATCATGCCTTTTCTTTTTGCCAGCTTTTGCAACAGAACTCAATTAGAGTGTCAGACGAAAAGAAAGCTCGGTATACGTAGTGAGACACCAAGGACGCTTAAGGGTCCCCGCAAGGATTCCTTTGAGGGTTAAAAAGGGCTTTCGGGTGTAGATTTTTGGAAAATAAAGCCCCACGTCCTTTCGGGCCAGTTAACCAGGGTCCAAGCCATCTTGTATATCTCAGCAGCCGTCGACGGGCAGGACCCAGCGGCGCGCAAAACGAAGCTCGCGGCAGAGTTGGCCAATGGACGCCTGGCGATGATGGCCATCATCGGCCACTCGACATAGAAGATATGCGAAGAACACACGAGAGATCAAGACCGAGACAGGAGAATGCTGTCGGGCAGAATGACCAGCTGTATCCCCACATCTCTTAAACCATGAAACCCCAAACCCCTTGACCGTAAACCCCAAAAGCCGAGAACCTAAACTGTAGCATTTAGAAACTAGTCAACCCTTAACCGAACCCTAAGCCCTAAGCCCAAAAGCCCAAAAGCCAAGGCATGTTCTTCCAGGATGGACTCACAGGCTCCGCCTGGGGAGATTGGAGCTTGCAGCTAGGCCTTGGGGAGATTTAGGAGACTTTTCCCGTTTTTTCCTAAAAGAGACGTTAGGGTTTAGGGTTTAGGGTTTAGGGTTTAGGGTTTAGGGTTTAGGGTGTAAAATGCAATATAATAATGTAACCCAGACCCCCGAAAGGATCTGAAAAGTAGATCCCTTCATTTGAGATCCTGTACTACTAAAGGGTACTTTTATAGGAACCCCCTTTAAGGGATCTACTTTTTGGATCCTTTTGGGGGTCTGGGAAATGAATGAAATATAGCCGTAACCCTAAACCGTGGGCTCTAGGTACACCGCCTCGCCATT